GTGACCCCTATCCAAAACTGTGTATCGCTTTAGATTTGTTATTGACATTTAAAAAGGCTTAAAATTTTATTACACTTGAAATTTAAAAAGTTTAGATGCAAAATGCAACACCTCGTTCCGTTCTAAAAGAATGATGATGTTTGGACTTTGAAGTATGAGGGTCAATAAATTATTTAGTTTTCAGTTTAATTTGAAGATTCTTTCACTTTCATTTTAAATGTGATTTTTTTTTTAAAAATTACATAAAAGAATACTATAAGTCATAATTTTCTTTTATAACTTAAGAGTATGTAATAGTAAAAGAAAATTTGTTTGATCCTTCAGGTGATTAGGTGACATAGAGTAAACTTTATCTCAATGTTTGCTTACACTTATAGCCTGATTGGCCAAGTTTTTAAAATCAGTTTATTTTGGAAAAATATTTTTTTCAAAAGTGCATTTTAAAAAAAGTACTTTTGGTGAGAAACAGTTTGTGTTTGGCAATTTAGTTTAAAAAGTATTTTTGAGTAGCAATTAGTGTTGGCCAAAATTTTAAAAATTACTTCTAAGTATATTTTTCTCAAATGTGCTTTTAGAGAAAATCTTCTTTTTTTTGCTTTTCAAGAACTGCTTCTACTTCTCAAAAACTGTTTTTGCTTCTCTTCGAAGACATTTTTTTTTTGTTATGTGACATGAAAACAGTGTGTAAGTGTGTTTTTCTCCTCTCTCTCTCTCTCCAATCAAACCAGTGTTTCTTACGAGAATATGCCTATACATAAAATGGCCATAAGTGGGGCAATGACCCAAGTGGATCAAAGACCAAAATCCCCAAGCGAAGATATTATTGATATATTGATAACGTCATGTCCAATTATCAATGCTTTAATGAGATTTTCAGTTTTGTAATATCGAAGTGATTTTATTTTTGTACAAATTGAAAAAAAAATCAATACCTTTTTCTTCCTGAAAAATGCCTATATCAATCCAAGATTTGATCTATAAAGCATAGGGATAGGCGGTTATCTTTGGTAGTTCAAACTTATCTTGCTACAAGGTAAAATCTCATTTACTGTAATTATAGGTTTTCTATGGCAATCTTAATTGAACGTGTAAGATATGTGGATTGAGGGATAGAATGACACAAAGACCAATCTTGAAAGACCTCACTTTCCCTTAAGGTTAAGAAGGTAGAAAATTTCATAACGGTCAAAAGAAGAAAGGACCACTTGTAAACAAAAATCATGTCTAGTAGGGCACCACCATCACTGTCTAGTTATTGTTCATCATCCATAATGATCAATTCAAGTAATTGCATTATTACCATAACATAAAAAGTCTCAAGACAATTAGAGCTACGGAAAAAAGGGAAAAGGAGGAAATAAGTCAGAGACACAGAGAAACATAGTAATGATAATAATACACTATTACATTATTGGTTAGACGATTACATTTAAAATATTGCTAATATGGTTAGCAAAATTAATTGTCAGTCCAAATAACCGGCGTATTCTTCATAGATATTCACCTCCAAGTGCGTGCAATCAAGAGATGCAGGAAGCGTGAGAGAAGTGCAGTTCAGTTGTGGGGTCTTGGGAAGAGAAAGAGTTGTACGTGTTTCCTTTACATTATTATTATCACTTTTATTTATTATAGGCCCCACCCGTCCTTTCAATCAAAAGGACAAAACTTATACTCACCCGGTACGGAATTTAAGAAAAGACGAAGATTTTTGATATTTGTGATCCTAAACAAGTTAAAAAAGGGCCCAGAGTATTTGTGTGGTTATAAAAGCTTTTCATTAAGGGTTGTGAGTTCGAGTCTCCCCAAGAGCAAGGTGGGAAGTTCTTGGAGGGAAGGATGCCGGGGGTCTATTTGGAAACAGTCTCTCTACCCTAGGGTAGGGGTAAGGTCTGCGTACACACTACCCTCCCCAGACCCCACCAAGTGGGATTATACTGGATTGTTGTTGTTGTATTAAGGGTAAAATTATAAGTTTAAGCTAAAGTGCTTTCAAATTTAAAAAGAAATTACTTTTTTAGAGCGAATAAAAAAAAAATCATATAAATTGAAAAAGAGAGGATCACCCTAAATTAGCTGAGACTCACTTTAAAGTATAAAGTGGGCAAAAGAACTTATTGACTTAAAAGTACACTACACAATTCACCCTTAAAAGGGCAAATAGAAGAACTAGTGCCAAAGTACCTTTAGCTTATCCATCTTCTTTTAAACTTTTTATTTTCCTGAGAAAGAGTTGTTAAATGTTAATGGCGATGCCGAGGAACAATTCAAAACCAACAGTGAGCAGCAAACAGCAAGGTCTTATGGCTATGGCTGACAATACTATTTCATTTCCAATATCTCCCACCAAAAATCATACAAACCAACCCATTTCTCGGAGAATTTTCAATGAATTTCTCACCAGAAGCTTATCTGATGTAGTTGAAGCTGGAATTAATAGCCCAAAATTCATTCTTGACGGCAAACAAATGTTCACTTTTGGCAACCCTTTTGGCTATGATAGAAACTGCGGAAATCCAATCACCTATATGGACAGAAAGCAGTCAACTTTATTAATAGATGATAAGTTGGAATCAGAAGGTATTAAACTTGCTCTTCTTATTGAGAATGAGGAAATGATTCTGTTTGGAACAGAGCTTAAAGTTCAAAGTCCTGCTTCCCCTACTGATTTTGGCATTAAGACTCGGGATTCTCAGCTCTTAGCTTCTTCATTAAAAGAATTAGAAAAAGATTCTTGTTGTATTGCACATGGCTTAAGTTTGAGGGAGATGGAGAGTTCTGAGGACTACACTTGTGTAATCACTCACGGTCCTAATCCCAAAACCACCCATATATTTGATAATTGTGTTGTTGGAACTTGTCTGACTTGAAATGGGAGAATCAGTCTTCAACTCACGGCCGGAACTAGCTAGGGGTAAACGAACCCTTTTGCCAAAGATTAGCTGTGTATAAAAGGTCAATTTTTTTTAAGTCCCTTTACTTTTTTATTTATTTTTCTTTTTATTTTATTGGTGAAAATTCTATTTACGTCGGCCACGCCACTATTAATTGCCACTATTGCAGAGTTGATCCGAGGAAAAACATTGTACAAATATTTAAGGTTTTTAGGGTCGTTTGGTACGCGGACTAAATTATTTTGCGACTATAATCCCTAGATTAATTTATTCCACTTTGGAGGTGGGATAAAATAATACCAAGTCTGATGGAATAAGATGGGATAAGATGAGCAGAGGCGGATCCAGAATTTTTACGCGACGGGGGCACATTATTCCACTCAACTAGTGCCCCTAAAGGTTTTTAGTATTCAGGGTGCCAATTGCTTTAAATTAACTATTTTCAAGGTATACACGTATATATATACAGGATTTCGGCCGAATTTTACGGGGTTCGAGGACCCCCACCCATATACATGGGTCCGCCTCTGAAGATAGGATATTCAGGATTAAATTTGGGAGAAAGCTTATACTATGTTTGGCTGACGGTATAAATTTATTACGGGATAAATTTGTACCGTCAGCCAAATATAATATAAATTTAGTACCACACTTTATCCCAGCATATCCCGCGTACCAAACCATCCCTTAAAAGTTGAATATTCAATGATTATCTCTGAGGTGTTTTACATTTTAGCACTCCAAATGAATAAAGATGCAATGATCCTGGATGCCGCTGCAAAGAAATAGTTTTGTGAAGGCCAGGAATTAAAGGTAGTGTAGAACCAGCAATCGGATGATGATTTTTGGATTAGCGAGATTTTTTCATGTTTTTGTCTTTAGTTTCTCCAAGAAAGAAGTTTGGCAACTCTAAAAGGGATATGATTTTCTAACTTTGATTGTAATCATGATCAATCAACTTTGGTTGTATGGGACCGAGTGTTGGCCGGTGAATATCTCACACATCCAGAGGATGAAAGTTGCAGAGATGAGGATGTTGAGGTGGATGTGCGGGCATACAAGGAAGGATAAGATTAGAAATGAAGATATTCGAGAGAAGGTGGGTGTGGCCCCCATGGAGGACAAGATGCGGGAAGCAAGACTCAGATGGTTCGGGCACATTCAGAGGAGGAACACTGATGCATCGGTAAGAAGGTGTGAACGACTGGCGGTGGTGGGTTCGAAGAGAGGTAAAGGGAGACCTAAGAAGTATTGGGGAGAGGTGATCAGGCAGGATATGACGCGACTTAGGGTTACTGAGGACACGGCCCTAAACAGGGAATTGTGGAGATCGAGCATTAAGGTGGTAGGTTAGGGAAATTGTGATGTCTTTGTTACAGCGCACTAGAGTGAGACTAGCCAGTTAGGAAGTAGTCTTAGGATGCTATTGATCAACTACTGATGATGGGCTTTATCTCCTGTGTATTAATACCTTACATCTTTCTCGTATTTCCTATATCTCTTATATTGTTGTTACTTTGTTTTTATGGTATTTATGTTATGTTATGGATTTTATGGTACTTTATGTTGTTTTATTATGAGTCTATTGATAGTACTAATATAGTGTCTCTTGTTGCCTCTTTGAGCCGAGGGTCTCCTGGAAACAGCCTCTCTGCCCCTCGGGGTAGAGGTAAGGTCTGCGTACATATTACCCTCCCCAGACCCCACTTGTGGGATTACACTGGGTTGTTGTTGTTGTTGTTGTTGTTGTTGTTGATTGTAATCATGATCAATTAATGAAGATGTCGATGAACTCATTTTGATTTCAGCCTTGGTATTACTATTATTATTATTGATCATGTTTATTTTCTCCGCTCTTGATCAGGTTTTTCTATTATTAGTAGTAGTATTATTGAAAGACTCAGTCAGTCGTATTATTATGATTTTTATAATTAATTGTACTAGAATATAGTCTTTTAATATGTAAAATAAATTTTAAAAAATAAATTAACTTCCGAATTTACACAAAGAAGTAAGTGTGATGATATGGTATGCTGAACCTGTCATATATTAGTTTGCAACAAAAGGTGCAATATAATATTGTTGATCAAGTTTATATTCTCCGCTGTCACATCTGTGTTTGTTCTCTATTATTGAAGATTTTAGATAAGGAAAACTTACGTGAGTTATGCTCTTGACTATGACAGAAATGGTAGGAAATTAATGAGGTATGCCAAATCATTTTGGATCATTAACCAATCTTCCATTTTCTTTCTCTCATATCATCCATCAAGTTAACCAATGTCGTATCAGGCTTCATTTATGCAAAAACAATTCCGAGCAAGTTCTAATATGAAGTCTTAATCAGCTGTAAGATAAATGTGTACCAAGTCACACATGATTAATACTACCTAAAAACTAATTGATCATCAAGTGATTATTAACCCACTGCATCATTGTAGTGCGACTTGCTTGTACAAATGGACATTACAATCTAGCTATTCTCTTAGTTTCAACTTATATAAATATGTATAATATTTGTGTCAACATAAGACTTTTAAAATTTATGACTTTAAATTAGACATGTCATAATATTTGTGTAAATATATAGAAGCTTTTCTTTAAGAGAAAAATAAAAAAATTAAGTTAAATTGTTTCAAGATTGTGAAAGATATTATTCTTTTCGAAATTGAGTAAAAAAGAACTGTTACCACTTAAACAGGAATGAAGAGAGTATCACTTATAATTTGTAGATATGGAAAAGTGCTATATTTGTCCATCTACTTTAAAAAATAAGCTATATTTACTCTTCGTTTCAGTTTCTTAGTATAATTATTCCTACCGTCATACTTTTGGATCATATTTACCCTCCACCCACTAAATAACTTGGTCCCTATCTTTAGAAAGACATGTGGCTGACCCTAATTAAATTTAAAAAAAATAAATTCCGCCATATTTTATTATTCAAACCAATCCGGCCCATGTTCTTTTGTTTTTCGCTGCCTTCTTCTTTGTCAAACTTGTCAGTCTCCCGCAAAACCTTCAGGAAATTCAGAATAAACACGTAATCAGTCTCAAAGTCAAAAGCTTATCAGCACTCGCTTGATATCCTTCACTTCTTACAATACAAAATTTATGAATATTAAACAAATACAAATGCCTTGAGCTTCAATATGCTATGCACACAGAGGAGTTCTCGTAAACATTAATTATTGTTCAAATAATAAGTATATTATTACCTTTACCACAAACAATTTTGCAATGCACATATTTTGTGGTTTTGAGTACACGATCATAAAACTTTATCGAATTTGAACTGAAATTAGACAGATCAAATCAGAAATTGGATATACAAAACAAATATGGAAATTCCAAAGTGAAAGAAAATGAAAATTGCAAGCAATTTGTTTCAGGAGACGAAACGCGACGGACTTCCTGGCAACTCAAGCATTACAAAGGGGAGCTTCTGGCGCCGCCATAGCCGATTAATTGGATTTAAATGTCAATCGTGCCTTAACAAGGAGAGAGGTAGTTGAGATTAGTGTTTTAAAGGGCTTAAGCGTAAGGCAAGTCGTTTTACATATGCCTCAGCTAGGGGTGGGCGTTCGGGCAGCTCGGATTGGATATGAAATTTTCGGTTTGGATTTTCAATTTTCGGATTGAAGAAATGACAATCCAAATAAGTTCAGATTTGATCGAATTTTTTAATTTGGGTTTCGTATTAATCGGTATTTATATTTTAGATTTTCGGTTTTGAGCTTATAAGTTGAGATGTTTCTTCTTTTTACAAAAAATGAATATCCAAATGAATGACTCATGTTATATTATCTGAAAAGTTCCTCATTCTCACCGTAATCATCAAAATAAAGTATTCAAGTAATGAAATTATTATCAAGGAAATGCAACAGAGACATTAATATGATCGATACGAAGTAGCAATAGTAAAATCATGTCGAAATAAAAAGTACTATGGCAGAAACTTAGTAATTAATATTCAATATATGAGATAATATCTTATGGGTAGGGTATTTAACTTATTACTATTGACATATGGATAATGGACTAAATATAAAGAACAAAAAATTTGGATTTTCGGATATCCAAAAATCCGAAGTACCATGTCAAGGCCCCCTTCGTGAGGGTTTCTCCGAACTTCTTCAGTAGGACCGACTAGATCTCTGGTGCTGCGCTCGATTTGAACGGCAACTGGTTGTACCTCTTTGAGTCCGGGCCCTTCAGCACTGGTGGTGCGCCCGAAATTTGGTCCATTTGGGTGTGGAATTCTTTCAAGTTCTGGTCCATCCGCTCATTCATTTCTCTTATGAACCGCATGAGCTCGATTTTGAAAGCATCATTATTGTTGTCGTTACCGGATCCATTGTCGATTTCCCCAGCCCCGTTGAAGTCGACCTCACCCCTCGTGGTGTTGTTATCAACCCTTTATGCTATTTGATTTACGGGAGCACCAGGAAGAACAGGGCCTCCTCCATTCGCGTTGTTGGAAGCACCTAACAATGCTTGCCTTAGTTCTGTCATGGCAAGGTCTTGCCGTGAGAGATTACCCATGATGGCCTTTTGTTGTTCCCTCAAGATCTTTACTGTTTCCGCAGTATGCACGTCCTCAGCGTCATCAGGAGTTGTCTTCCGCATATGTCGAGGATAACGCCCGCCATGGATTGGAGTTGCTACATCCTCCTCGTTGGGGTGTCACTTATCGAATTCTCATGTTAAGGTAGATTCTCTTGGGCCTCCATTTTATGTGCTATGTTGACATCATTAGCTGCTATTTATACGATTTTTGCGAAGAAGTAAGGAATCAAACAGGCTAATAATATATGCAAGGATCAACTCAATTACGCAGCTGTCTAAGCCATACGGTAGGCGCCAAACTAGTTACCCATAAAATGATACAGTTGAATTTATAGACAAACGAATCAATTTGATCCCAAAAATAATAAATAAATTATATAAAATACAAGACTTAGCATTGAAATCGA